CTCTCTCTCTCTCTCTCTTGCAATCTGCTCGCTGATCCAGGTAGAGAGCGCTGGGGCCAACATGAGCCCTCGGGTAGTGGCCATCCCCGTGAATCAGTACTCCTCGTCCTGGTGCTCATTGGTGTCCTTCCTCGTTCCCAGGACACGATCTTTGCGCCTTTCTTCGCAGAGTTGAAGTTGGCGAGATACCAACTCGAGGCTGGCCAAATTTGTGAGGTCCAACTGGTCGTAGCACAGCGCCGTCTCGAAGATCTTCGAGTACTCATGATGAGCCGAAACGATAACGTCGTCGAGACCCAGGCGTATGATCGATCTCCACTGCACATGATGTCCCAACGCGCTCCCTCCGTTCTCGAGCATGAAGTTGGCCACCAAGTGTGCTGTCCTCGGGCCTGGCACCACCCAGTCGCCCCAGTCCACGGACCGCAGCAGAGCCACTCCCGAAGCGAACGCGCGATGCCGCTTCCCGTTGACATCGCACAGCGCTGAGAGGGTGCGGCAGTCGCCTGAGCCCGAGCCGCCGTCTCCAGCCCCATCCGCGGCGACCGCCAGCGGTCCTCCTCCGGCTCCGGCCAGTGCAGCTGCGAGCCCAGCGGCGCCGTCGGCGACCGCGGCTGCGGGCGCGCCGGCGGCTCCAGCCGCGGGGGCCCCTCCCGCTGCGGGCGCAGGCATGGGGGCGAGCCTACCTTCCGCCGGGGTTCCTGCGGCGGCGCCGCCTCCGAGCACCCCGGCAGCCGCTGGAGCGGGTCCTGCCCCGAGAGCTCCAACACCGCCTCCTCCTGCAGCCCCGCCCCTGCCTCCTCCGAGCAGAGCGGCCAGCCCGCCGACGGGTCTTCCTGCCACAGCGAGTCCGCCTCCGGCAGCTGCGGGCGCGGGAGCACCCGCTGCGCCTCCACCGGCCGCCCCGCCGCCCCCGGCGGCGACCAGCGCCCCACCACCGCCACCTGCACGACGTGCCGCAGCGACAACGAGAGCAGCATCGTGGCCAGCAAGAAGCACCCCGGCCTGCTGAGTGAAGGTCTGTAGCTCCGCGTGCGTGAGCGGGACGGCGAAGTCGTAGACCCTGAGCCCAGCCCCGCCCGCGGCTGGGATGATGTCTCCGTCCTCTCGGATAAGAACACGCCCTGGTCCAACTTTGTACCAATGTCGGATGTCGTCATTGTCCTCGCTGAACAGCTCAATGAACAAGTCATGATCAGGAGAAGCGACTGCAGCACGCAGCCCCTCGGTCCCAGAGACGCCGACCACGACGCCGGCGTGCAGGAGCGGAGCCCCTGGCTCAACATACAGTTCATCTCCGATGTTCATGCCTTAGCTCTAGGCGGAGTCCAGTCACCAACGATCTTGCCGCGCCCTCCTGGCACCCTGCGGTCCGACACGCCGACCAGTGGAGCCACCTCGCTGCACGCCTCGACCGCCAGAAGCACCTCGCGCTTCCGGCCGCACCTGCGGCCCAGCTGGCCGCGCACGGCGGCCCACAGCCTGGTGGCGAGCTCCCAGAACAGGAGGGTCCCCAAGCCCAAGGAGACCTCGAAGCCCCAAGAGAACTCCGCCTTGGCTGGCTCGGGGCACGCCGGGCAAGGGTCAGGGCACTCCACCAGCGGTGCCGACGCCCCCCAGGGCAAGCACCTCTCCAGCTCCGCGCACAGCTCTCCAGCCAGCGCGGGGGTCGGCGGCGCGGCCGCCAGGCAGCTCCGCGCTGGCGGAGCTGGGGCCCGGCGCCGCAGCCGGCGGAAGAGCGGCCGCAAACCGCGCGGCGGGCGGGCTGGCGGGACCGCGGCCGGCCCACCACTGCCCCAGCCACGCGGAACCCACGTGGAACGCCAGGAACACCGCGCCGCGGCCCGCCTGGCGCATTCAGGTATCGGGTTGCCTGCGGGCGGCGCGCGACCTCTCCGAAAAAGGCTTGGGCCGGGGCGGTGGCAGATGCAAGCACCGCGCGGCCCTCCCACGCTCTGCGATTACTGTTCTGGAACTCCCCATCATCATCAGCAGCAGCAGCAGCAGCAGCAGCATCAGCCTCGTCGGCGTCATCGTCGCTGTGCGCATCACCGCCATAACCATTTGGATCAAACCTTGCGCCGCCAGGCACCTGCGAGTCCGCCGGCGCGCCGCCGGGGGGCATTTGAAGGGGGGCCCGCCCCCCGCCACGGCCCCCGGCGGGCGGGGCCTGACCACCGGCGTCGGCGGGAGCTCCACGTCCCCTGCGGCGCCCCGGGGGCACGACGGGCAAGGGAGAGGGCGAGAGGAGGAGGGCGAGGTGGAGGGCGAGGGTAGGGAGGACGAGAAGAAACATAGGGATGAGGAGGAAGGGGGCCTGAGATGCGACGTCTGATCTTTGTAGGGCGGCGTGCCCGGAAGTCCAGACCCTTTCCTCGGGGCCGGCTTTTCGTCCCGAGTAATACTTTGACGTTCCCGGGGCCCGGCGAGGGCCCCCCCAGGCCAGAAATAGTGCAAAACTTGCCGCCCTGATTCTTTTACAAAGCGATCGCGTCTGGGGGAGCAAGTACGTCGAGGAGACGGACGAGGAGGCGCGCCAGCGGGACGCAAGGGCGAACTCTGGCGCGCGGTCTGCCCCGCGCGTCGCGATCAGCAGTGTCCAAGAGATCCGCCGACCCTGCCGACGTGTGCGAGGGGTTTCTCCGCTCGAGTTGTCGTCTCCGTTGTCTCCTCGTCGTCTTCGTCGCCGTCACAATCGTCTCCTCGCCGTATCCGTCGTCCCCCGTCCCTCTCCCTGGGCCCTCCCGAAGCGTGCCATCCAAAGCGGAATTGTACAGCGTCGTGTTGGAGTCGAAGAGAAGCCTCCCTTTGATCCCTTCTCCGCGGGGAGGGGGGGTCCCGGGGGGTGGTCCCGGGGAAAGGGGGGGGCGCCACCCAGATTCGTTTTCCCCCGGGCGGCCCCGACGTATCGAACAGCCCCAAGATTGCCCACAAGAGCCCCGTGTCGCTCAAAGATCGGACCAGCACGGCCAAAATGGCCCCAAGACGATGCAAGAAACCTCCCAGACGTCCCAGGAACTCTCCAAAAACACTCCCACCAAGGCTCCAAGAGGCTCCTCCCCTCCTCCTCCTTTTCCTCCTCCTTTTCCTCCTCGTCCTCCTCCTCCTCGTCCTCCTCATCCTCCTCCTCCTCCTCCTCCTCCTCCTCCTCCTCCTCCTCCTCCGCCTCCTCCCCCCCCCCTCCCTCATCCACCTCCTGCACCCCTTCCTCCTCCTCTTCCTCCTCCTCCTCCTCCTCCTCCTCCTCCTCCTCCTGCCACTCATCCTCCTCCCTCTGCCCCCCCCCTTTTCCCTTTTCATCTTCGTCGTCTTCAGGGTCGGCGGCACCGGCCGTAACGCCTTTGCAATCATAGATCTTGCGAACGTTGTAGCTGTCAGCCCGCGCCGGCCACAGAGAAAAAACCAAAGGCCGAGCCCAAGGCAAGGATGGGAACAATACAACCAGCCGCTCGTGTTCCGGCAGGGCCGCCTCGACAGAGACAGCGCGTAGATGAGAACATGTGCAAGAACTACCACATCCGCATCCAGGGAAAGATCGACACGCAGGCCACGAAACAATACGAGGATTGCACGCCAGAACCTCGATGCAGAAGAAGTCGCGAACGTGCCAAGGCCCTGGAGGACGAGACACATCGCCAAGACGACCGCGGGAATTTCAACCACAAGAAAGCGGTGCAACAAGCAGACCAAAAGTTTGGTGTTTTTTCCGTGGAGCTTGTGGTGCTCCACAAATGATTTGGTGCAGTTCTCGTGGAACCGTGTTTTCTCGAGGTGTATAGGGCTCTTCCCCAAACCCTGGGTGTTCTTCTCGATGAACTTGGTGCACGTCCCGTGGGGTTTGGTGTTCATCCCGTGGAGGTCGGTGGTCTTCCCGAGGAACTTGGCGCTCCCCCCGTGGAGTTTGGAGCCGTGCTCGCGGAGCGTGGTGTTCTTCTTGCGGAGATTGGTGTTCTTCACGTGGTGCCTTCCCTTTCCCAGTGGGTATTGGAGATCAATTCGCGGACCTTGGCGGGCATCGAACAAACAGAGCTCCGTTTCGAAATTGAAGTAGCGAAAGAAGCGACGTCGCCCACCCCGCGCGGCGACAAGGAGGAAACCTGCGGATCCCCTAGTCGATAAGGAAGGCAAAACAGATCATATATAAATGTCGCAACTTCCTGAAGGTCCAATTCTTCGCAGATGCCCACCGGCAGGGCCGGGTAAACCGACTGCGAGTGCGTGAACACGCTGGGCAAAAGGTTGCACCGACTCGCACAGGGCAGCGACATCAGCTGAGATATCACAGCGAAGAGAAAGTAGATCGTGGACTGTCAGCTCCCTTGAGGATGTAGCATTCCGAGATGCGCATCGCCTCGCGCGGAGGCGGTACAGCGTCGCCAAAGCCCAGGAGCGGGAAACGATGTTTGGCACGACCCTAGCGGGTGTTCTGCTAAAGAATTCGGCGCCGCTCCTGCGACGGTGGGGACTCCCATGCCGCCGCGACAGCACCACGAAGGTGATGATAACGAAGCCCATTACGCCGATAAGAGTCAGCGTGGACTTGCAGCCCCCGGATCATGTATCGGGCATTGTGAATGAGCGGCGCAGGAACATCCACGTACCGCCGATCGGGAACACGAGCACGGAGATGTCGCCTGCGCGCTTCGGACAGCGCGAGCGTGCAGACTGCGCGTCTGAACCACGTCGCTGCATACGCACCACCCCAATAGGCAGAGCAAACCGCAACACCATCGACCACATCTGAGGGCGCGTGTGCGGCCCCCTCCCCTTCCTGGCATGGGTCTTTGATCCAAAGTGGCTACGGAGGAGGAGGAGGAGGCGGGCTCCCACCTGGAAGGTCAAGCTCTCCCTACTCGCCTGGCTGCTACCGCGCCACGGCCCTTGCCCTGGCATCCCGTCAGCAGATCAGCCTGAACATTCCCTCGGCGCAGAATGGCTACGGAGGAGGACGACGGCGAGGAGGAACTCGAAGAGCAGGCATGCCGCGGCTCCGGCCCCTCCTGCGGTGCTCCGAGCGGGGCTCGCCGGGGCGCTGGCGGCCGCGGACGCCGCCCGCTGTGCGAGGGCCAGCTGCACGGCCTCGCGGGGCAACGACGACGCAGACGACGACGAACACCACGTCCACTGACGCCGCCGACGACAACGGACGACGGACGATTACGGACGACGGCAATAGACGACGACGTCGACGACGACGAAGGACGACGGACGGACGACGACGACTGACGGCAGACGGCCAACCATTGAAGACTGACGGCGACGACGACGACGACGACGACGACGGACGGACGGACGGACGGACGGACGGACGGATCGACGAGGAGGATGCCGGCGCTGATGGCGACTGGCGACGGACGACGACGACCGAGGACTGACGACGACAGATGATGGACGACAATGGAAGCGACGGCGGTTGCAGCGGCGGCGAGGGGGAGTGCAAAGATGAATGAGGAGGGGACGTGGAGGGGAGTGGACGGGGAGGGGAATGGTAAGCAAGCGCTTCCATCACTATCATGCCGCCTGAGTGGCCCCGGGCAGGGACCCCTTCGAGCAGACAGAGCCCGATGACAGCTTCGGGACCGCGGCGCTGATGCCGCGATCGGCCCTTTGAGGGCCACGCTGCGCGGCAGCCGGCTTGACCAAAAATGTAAGGAATGGGCCCCGAACCATGGGTTCCTGCACTCTCGATTAGCACTTTTTTCCACTGGGGACCTAAACGGTCGCAGCTGTTACCGTGCATCGCGCCGAAAAATTACCACCAATGCCCGAGGAGGAAGGAGAGGAGGAGGAGGACGGGCACGGGAGAGGGGGCGGAGAAGGAGGGAGCGGGGAGGAGAGAGGAGAAGAGGACACGAAAGGAGGGAAGCACGAAGAGGAGGGATGTAGGGAAAAGTGCTGGGAAGGAGGGGGAGAGAGATATGGGAGACAGGGCGAAGAGTGGCGAGCAAGGCAGGGACGACGATGAGAGGGCGATGGAATTGAGAGGGCACGGCAACGACTGCGGAGGCGAGCTCCCTGAACGGTGGTGCACGAGACCTACTCCGCCCCCAAGGAGAAAGACACCGCTCCTCGCGAAGCCTGGCGAGCGCAACTTCGAGGAGACGGGCAGGTGGAGTGGCGGAGACTGCTCCGATCGGCGCTGACCCCCTGCCTGGCGCGCGGAGCGCGCCAGGATGGGCGCCAGAGGTGCCGCCAAGGGGGCCCAGCGCCGACCCAAGACAGCGCGGATCTCCGAACGTTTATGCTTGTACTGACTGCCCTTTTCTTCCATCTCCCCTCCCCCTCGATCCTCCTCGATCCTCGGCCCTCTTCGATCCGCGATCCTCGATCCTCCCCGGTCCTCCTTCGATCCTCCCATATCCCCACTCGCTCCTCCTATCCTCGATCTTTGCCTGTGCCTGCGACCCTTCCCCGACACTCGGAGGGGGCGGGGGGCGGCGACGGGCCGCCTGCCCTCCCCCCCCCCCCCTGCGCCTCGTCTCCCCCCTGCAGGTGGGGTTTCGACACAAGTTACAAAAGATTCAAACAATACTCCAGACTGGTCATCAAAAACACTTGATCGTTCCCACACTTCTTTTTCCCCATATCCTAAGATGGGGTTCTTGTTATTCCCCATATCCAAAGATGGGGTTCTTGTTATTGGCGGACCGCGCCGGAAGGACACAGGACAGAACACCACACCCACCACTCATCACTCAGACTCACCACTCAGATTCACTCATCACTCAGACTCACTCATGCTCTCTCATCACTCAGACTCAGTCATCACTCAGACTCAGGCGATTCGCTCGTCTCAGCAATCTAAGGGGGGCGGCGGGGGGGTATTTCACGGGGTCCCGTTCGCGGAATTTTGTGGGGATGTCTCAGGCGGTTTGGCCATTTTCTGATCCAACATGTTTCGTTTTCGGAGCAGATTTGGAGGATGTCTCAGGGATTCGCTCGTCTCAGCACTCTAAGGGGGGCGGCGGGGAGGTATTTCACGGGGTCCCGTTCGCGGAATTTTGTGGGGATGTCTCGAGCGGTTTGCCTGTTTTCTGTGCCAGCATCCTTCGCTTTCGGAGCAGATTTGGAGGATGTCTCGAGCGAGGCGCTCATTTTCACCCCCCAGGTGGGCCAGATTTTGAGGATGTCTCGATCGGTTTGCTTGTTTTGGTGGCCAGGCTCGTGGGCGCATATTCTTCTCTGGATGCCACAGGAGGCTCCAACAGGCTCCAGGAGGCCCCAGGAGACATCATGAGGTCCCAGGAGGCATCAGGAGGCCACAGAAAGACTCAAGAGGCCACAGGATGTCCCAAGAGGCTCCAGGAGGCCCCAGGAAGCTCCGGACGGCCTCAGGAAACCACAGGAGGCCCCACGAGGCAACAGGAAGCGCCAGGAGGCCTCGGAAGGCAACAGGAGGCCCCGAGAGGCCCCAGGAGCAGGAGGCTTCAGAAGGCAACAGGAGTGGCTCCAATCCCATGTGTTTTACGTATGCTCCTATCGATTGGGCCTCACCTGGAGCACGAGTCTTTTGATGTTTTACGTATGTTTCTATAGATTGTCCTTCTCCTGTGTACACAATCCTACATATTTTACTAATGTTCCTATATATATATATATATATATATATATGGGCCTCTCCTGGGGCACGAGTCCTTTGTGTTTGACGCGTGTTCCTATAGATTGCCCTTCTCCTGTGGCACGAATCCGCAATGGTTTATGTACGTCTGTTGCTATATATTGCGCCTCTCCTGGGGCACGAAACCTCCCTAGGAGGTCCCAGGAGGCCCCAAGAGGCTCCTGGAGACCCCAGGAAGCCCCAGTAGGTTTCAGGAGGCCCCAGGAGGCCCGAGGCTCATGCACAAAGACGCGCTCGTACTACTGAGGCTCATTCACACTCCAATTCATTCGCAGTTAGATTTATGTCCTGACCGTCACAACTGAAGCCCGTGTATATTCGAAAGCTCTTGCGCCTAGACATTCACGGCGGACAGGTCCATGCGAATAGATGCACTTCTTGTTCCCCATATCCAAAGATGGGGTTCTTGTTATTGGCGGACCGCGCCGGAAGGACACAGAACAGAACAGGACAGAACACCACACCCACCACTCATCACTCAGACTCACCACTCAGATTCACTCATCACTCAGACTCACTCATGCTCTCTCATCACTCAGACTCAGTCATCACTCAGACTCAGGCGATTCGCTCGTCTCAGCAATCTAAGGGGGGCGGCGGGGGGGTATTTCACGGGGTCCCGTTCGCGGAATTTTGTGGGGATGTCTCAGGCGGTTTGGCCATTTTCTGATCCAACATGTTTCGTTTTCGGAGCAGATTTGGAGGATGTCTCAGGCGATTCGCTCGTCTCAGCACTCTAAGGGGGGCGGCGGGGGGGTATTTCACGGGGTCCCGTTCGCGGAATTTTGTGGGGATGTCTCGAGCGGTTTGCCTGTTTTCTGTGCCAGCATCCTTCGCTTTCGGAGCAGATTTGGAGGATGTCTCGAGCGAGGCGCTCATTTTCACCCCCCAGGTGGGCCAGATTTTGAGGATGTCTCGATCGGTTTGCTTGTTTTGGTGGCCAGGCTCGTGGGCGCATATTCTTCTCTGGATGCCACAGGAGGCTCCAACAGGCTCCAGGAGGCCCCAGGAGACATCATGAGGTCCCAGGAGGCATCAGGAGGCCACAGAAAGACTCAAGAGGCCACAGGATGTCCCAAGAGGCTCCAGGAGGCCCCAGGAAGCTCCACGGCCTCAGGAAACCACAGGAGGCCCCACGAGGCAACAGGAAGCGCCAGGAGGCCTCGGAAGGCAACAGGAGGCCCCGAGAGGCCCCAGGAGCAGGAGGCTTCAGAAGGCAACAGGAGTGGCTCCAATCCCATGTGTTTTACGTATGCTCCTATCGATTGGGCCTCACCTGGAGCACGAGTCTTTTGATGTTTTACGTATGTTTCTATAGATTGTCCTTCTCCTGTGTACACAATCCTACATATTTTACTAATGTTCCTATATATATATATATATATATATATATTGGGCCTCTCCTGGGGCACGAGTCCTTTGTGTTTGACGCGTGTTCCTATAGATTGCCCTTCTCCTGTGGCACGAATCCGCAATGGTTTATGTACGTCTGTTGCTATATATTGCGCCTCTCCTGGGGCACGAAACCTCCCTAGGAGGTCCCAGGAGGCCCCAAGAGGCTCCTGGAGACCCCAGGAAGCCCCAGTAGGTTTCAGGAGGCCCCAGGAGGCCCGAGGCTCATGCACAAAGACGCGCTCGTACTACTGAGGCTCATTCACACTCCAATTCATTCGCAGTTAGATTTATGTCCTGACCGTCACAACTGAAGCCCGTGTATATTCGAAAGCTCTTGCGCCTAGACATTCACGGCGGACAGGTCCATGCGAATAGATGCACTTCTTGTTCCCCATATCCAAAGATGGGGTTCTTGTTATTGGCGGACCGCGCCGGAAGGACACAGAACAGAACAGGACAGAACACCACACCCACCACTCATCACTCAGACTCACCACTCAGATTCACTCATCACTCAGACTCACTCATGCTCTCTCATCACTCAGACTCAGTCATCACTCAGACTCAGGCGATTCGCTCGTCTCAGCAATCTAAGGGGGGCGGCGGGGGGGTATTTCACGGGGTCCCGTTCGCGGAATTTTGTGGGGATGTCTCAGGCGGTTTGGCCATTTTCTGATCCAACATGTTTCGTTTTCGGAGCAGATTTGGAGGATGTCTCAGGCGATTCGCTCGTCTCAGCACTCTAAGGGGGGCGGCGGGGGGGTATTTCACGGGGTCCCGTTCGCGGAATTTTGTGGGGATGTCTCGAGCGGTTTGCCTGTTTTCTGTGCCAGCATCCTTCGCTTTCGGAGCAGATTTGGAGGATGTCTCGAGCGAGGCGCTCATTTTCACCCCCCAGGTGGGCCAGATTTTGAGGATGTCTCGATCGGTTTGCTTGTTTTGGTGGCCAGGCTCGTGGGCGCAGGATGCCACAGGAGGCTCCAACAGGCTCCAGGAGGCCCCAGGAGACATCATGAGGTCCCAGGAGGCATCAGGAGGCCACAGAAAGACTCAAGAGGCCACAGGATGTCCCAAGAGGCTCCAGGAGGCCCCAGGAAGCTCCGGACGGCCTCAGGAAACCACAGGAGGCCCCACGAGGCAACAGGAAGCGCCAGGAGGCCTCGGAAGGCAACAGGAGGCCCCGAGAGGCCCCAGGAGCAGGAGGCTTCAGAAGGCAACAGGAGTGGCTCCAATCCCATGTGTTTTACGTATGCTCCTATCGATTGGGCCTCACCTGGAGCACGAGTCTTTTGATGTTTTACGTATGTTTCTATAGATTGTCCTTCTCCTGTGTACACAATCCTACATATTTTACTAATGTTCCTATATATATATATATATATATATATATATATATATATATGGGCCTCTCCTGGGGCACGAGTCCTTTGTGTTTGACGCGTGTTCCTATAGATTGCCCTTCTCCTGTGGCACGAATCCGCAATGGTTTATGTACGTCTGTTGCTATATATTGCGCCTCTCCTGGGGCACGAAACCTCCCTAGGAGGTCCCAGGAGGCCCCAAGAGGCTCCTGGAGACCCCAGGAAGCCCCAGTAGGTTTCAGGAGGCCCCAGGAGGCCCGAGGCTCATGCACAAAGACGCGCTCGTACTACTGAGGCTCATTCACACTCCAATTCATTCGCAGTTAGATTTATGTCCTGACCGTCACAACTGAAGCCCGTGTATATTCGAAAGCTCTTGCGCCTAGACATTCACGGCGGACAGGTCCATGCGAATAGATGCACATATGGGGAGCTCCACGCAGTGAGTAATTACTCTGACGCCTCCTACTCCTCATCCTCTTCCTTCTCCTCCCCTCTCCTCCTCATACCCAGACTTACTCATACACAGACTGACTCACACTCAGACTTACTCATACCCAGACTTACTCACACACAAAATTACTCATACTCAGACCTACTCAAACTCAGACCTACTCATACTCAGACTTACTCATGCTGAGACTCACTCATACCCAGACTTACTCATACTTCAGGCCTTCTGACTTACTCTACACACAGCAGATTGTGAGGATGTCTCAGGCTGGGCGCTGGTGTCAGCACCCCTAAGGAGAGCCGCCGAGGGGTATGACACGGTCCTGTTCGCGGCCGTTTTATGGGGATGTCTCAAGCGGTTTGCCTGTTTTCTGTCCCAGCATCCTTCGCTTTCGGAGCAGATTTGGAGGATGTCTCGAGCGAGGCGCTCATTTTCACGCCCCTAAGGAGAGCCGCCGAGGGGTATGACACGGTCCCGTTCGCGGCCGTTTTATGGGGATGTCTCAAGCGGTTTGCCTGTTTTCTGTCCCAGCATCCTTCGCTTTCGGAGCAGATTTGGAGGATGTCTCGAGCGAGGCGCTCATTTTCACGCCCCTAAGGAGAGCCGCCGAGGGGTATGACACGGTCCCGTTCGCGGCCGTTTTGTGGGGATGTCTCAAACGGTGTGCCTGGTTTCTGCCACAGCATCCTTAGCTTTCGGAGCAGATTTGGAGGATGTCTCGAGCGAGGCGCTCATTTTCATGCCCCTCAGAGGGGCTGCCGAGGGGTATGACACGGTCCCGTTCGTGGCCGTTTTGTGGGGATGTCTCAAGCGGTTTGCCTGCTTTCTGTCCCAACATCCTTCGCTTTCGGAGCAGATTTGGAGGATGTCTCGAGCGAGGCGTTCATTTTCACCCCCCAGGTGGGCCAGATGTTGAGGACGTCCCGTTCGGTTTGCCAATTTTGGTTGCCAGACTCGTGGGCACAGGCTCTCCTCAGGATGCCACAGGATGCTCCAACAGGCTCCAGGAGGCCCCTGGGGACCACATGAGGTCCCAGGAGGCATCAGGCGGCCACAGAAAGACGCAAGAGGCCACAAGATGCCCCAAGAGGCTCCAGGAGGCCCCAGGAAGCTCCAGGAGTCCTCAGGAAGCCACAGGAGGCCACAGGAAGCGCCACGAGACTTCGGACGGCAACAGGAGGCCCCGAGAGGCCCCAGGAGCAGGAGGCCTCAGAAGGCAACAGGAGTGGCTCCAATCCCATGTGGTTTGCGTATGCTCCTATAGATTGTGCCTCACCTGGAGCACGAATCCTTGACGTTATACGTATGTTTCTATATATATATATGTATATATATAGTGTGTGTGTCCTTCTCCTGTGAACACAACCCTATTTTCCCGATATCATAAGATGGGGTTATTGTTATTATTCTGACGCCTCCTACTCCTCATCCTCTTCCTTCTCCTCCCCTCTCCTCCTCATACCCAGACTTACTCATACACAGACTGACTCACACTCAGAATTACTCATACCCAGATTTACTCACACACAAAATCACTCATACTCAGACCTACTCATACTCAGACTTACTCATGCTGAGACTCACTCATACCCAGACTTACTCATACTTCAGGCCTTCTGACTTACTCTACACACAGCAGATTGTGAGGATGTCTCAGGCTGGGCGCTGGTTTCAGCACCCCTAAGGAGAGCCGCCGAGGGGTATGACACGGTCCCGTTCGCGGCCGTCTTGTGGGGATGTCTCAAGCGGTTTGCCTGTTTTCTGTCCCAGCATCCTTCGCTTTCGGAGCAGATTTGGAGGATGTCTCGAGCGAGGCGCTCATTTTCACGCCCCTAAGGAGAGCCGCCGGGGGGTATGACACGGTCCCGTTCGCGGCCGTTTTGTGGGGATGTCTCAAGCGGTTTGCCTGTTTCCTGTCCCAACATCCTTCGCTTTCGGAGCAGATTTGGAGGATGTCTCGAGCGAGGCGCTCATTTTCACGCCCCTAAGGAGAGCCGCCGAGGGGTATGACACGGTCCCGTTCGTGGCCGTTTTGTGGGGATGTCTCAAGTGTATGTTTTCTGCCACAGCATCCTTAGCTTTCGGAGCAGATTTGGAGGATGTCTCGAGCGAAGCGCTCATTTTCACGCCCCTAAGGGGGGCCGCCGAAGGGTATGACACGGTCCCGTTCGCGGCCGTTTTGTGGGGATTTCTCAAGCGGTGTGCCTGCTTTCTGTCCCAACATCCTTCGCTTTCGGAGCAGATTTGGAGGATGTCTCGAGCGAGGCGCTCATTTTCACCCCCCAGGTGGGCCAGATATTGAGGATGTCTCGTTCGGTTTGCCAATTTTGGTGGCCAGACTCGTGGGCACAGGTTCTCCTCAGGATGCCACAGGATGCTCCAACAGGCTCCAGGAGGCCTCTGGGGACCACATGAGGTCCCAGGAGGCACCAGGAGGCCACAAAAAGACTCAAGAGGCCACAAGATGTCCTAAGAGGCTCCAGGAGGCCCCAGGAAGCTCCAGGAGGCCTCAGGAAGCCACAGGAGGCCCCAGGAGGCCACAGGAAGCGCCAGGAGACTTCGGAAGGCAACAGGAGGCCCCGAGAGGCCCCAGGAGCAGGAGGCCTCAGAAGGCAACAGGAGTGGCTCCAATCCCATGTGTTTTACGTATGCTCCTATAGATTGGGCCTCACCTGGAGCACGAATCCTTGACGTTATACGTATGCTTCTATAGATTGTCCTTCTCCTGTGAACGCAATCCTATGTTTTACTTATGTTCCTATATGTTGGGCCTCTCCTGGGGAACGATTCCTTGGTGCTTTACGTGTGTTCCTATAGATTGCCCTTCTCCTGTGGCTCCAATCCGCAATGTTTTATGTACGTCGGTTGCTATAGATTGGGCCTCTCCTGGGGCACGAAGCCTCCATGGGAGGTCCCAGGAAGCCCCAAGAGGCTCCTGGAGGCCCCAGGAAGCCCCAGTAGGTTTCAGGAGGCCCCAGGAGGCCCCAGGCTCATGCGCAGATACGCGCTCGTACTTCTGAGGCTCATTCACACTCCAATTCATTCGCAGTTAGATTCATGACCAGACCGCCACAACTGAAGCCCATTTACATTCGAAAGCTCTTGCGCCTAGACATTCACGGCGGACAGGTCCATGCGAATAGATGCACATATGGGGAGCTCCACGCAGTGAATAATTTAATATTTTTGGATATTCCTCCTGTAGAGGGACAGGCCCGACTTAACACAAAAGGCCCCGCCCACTCCCGCACGTTCGCCGGCCCACCCGCAGGGCCTCGGCGAGGCGGGGCGGCGGCGCCGCGTCGCGGGGCGCCGCTGGCGATGGCGTCGGCGTCGCGTCGCGGGCCGCCTGCTGCGCCGCCGCCTGACGCGCGGCGGCGGAAAGCTATGTCCTCGTCGTCGTCGTCGTCGTCGGTCGTCGGTCGTCGGTGGTCAATTGTGAGGGGTCGGCTGGCCGTCGTCGGTGGTCGGTAGTCGGTGGTCGGCTGTCTGTGGTCGGTGGTTGGCCGTCAATCGTCGATCCACGGCGTCGTCGTCATCGCCGCCGCCACCGTCGTCGTCGTCGTCGTCGTCGTCGTCGTCGTCGTCGTCGTCGTCGTCGTCGTCATCGTCGGTCGTCTGTTGTCGCTGCGTCGCAGGACGCCTGGTGCGCCGCCGCGTGCTGCGCGGTGGCCGAGAACGTCGACCTCGTCGTCGACGTCGACATCGTCGGTCGTTGGTCGTCGGTGGTCAACTGGTCGGTCGTCGGTTGGTGGTCCACTTCGTCGTCGGCCGTCGGTGGTCACTCATCCTCGGTCAATGGTCGGTGGTCGGCGGCCGGTCGGCGGACAGAAGCGTCGTCGTCGTCGCTACGTCGCGGTCCCATGCTGCGCCGCCACCGGCCGCGCGGCAGCCGAAAGCGACGTCATCGTCGTCGTCGTCGGTGGTCGCTCGTCGGGTGGTTCTCGTCGTCGTCGTCGTCGGTGGTCGCTCGTCGGGTGGTTCTCGTCGTCGTCGTCGTCGTTGTCGTCGTCGTCGGCGCAGCCGTCGTCGTCGTCGTCGTCGCAGCCGTCGTCGTCGTCGTCGTCGTCGATGTCGTCGTCGTCGTCGTCGTCGCCGGTCGTCGTCGGTCGTTGGTCGTCGGTCAACACCGTCGCGGGCCGCCTGCTGCGCCGCTGCCTGCAGCGCGGCGGCCGACAGAGTCGTCGGCATCGTCGGTCGTCGGCGGTGTCCTCGGTGGTCGGTCGTCGGTGGTCGTTTGGTCGTCGTCGGTCGTCCGTGATCAGTGGTCAGTTATCGGTCGGTTGTCGGTGGTCGGTGGTCGGCGGTCATTCGTCGGTCACGAGCGTCGTCGTCACCGCCGCCGCCACCGTCGTCGTCGTCGTCGTCGTCGTCGTCGTCGTCGTCGTCGTCGTCGTCGTCATCGTCGTCGTCGTCGTTTGTCGCCGCGGTCGATCATCAATCGTCCGTCGTCGCCGCGTCGCGGGCCGCTTGCTGCGCCACCGCCTCCCGCGCGGCGGCCGAAAACGTCGTCGTCGTCGTCGTCGTCGTCGTCGTCGTCGTCGTCGTCGTCATGGTGGCCGTAATCGTCGACGTCCTCATCGTCGTTGACGTCATCGCCGTCGTCGGTCGTCGGTGGTCAGTTGTCGAAGTTTGTTCGTCGGTCGTCGAGTGGTCGTCGTCGTCGTCGGTCGTCGGCGGTCGGTGGTCAATTATCGGTGGTCGGCCGTCGGTCAACAACGTCGCCGTCGTCGTCGTCATCCGTCATCGGTCGTCGGTCGTCGCCGCGTGGCGGGCTGCCTGCTGCGCCGCCGCCTGCTGCGCGGCGGTCGAGAGCGTCGTCATCGTTGTCGTCGGTGGTCAGTTGTCGGAGGTCGGTTGTCGTCGTCGTCAGTCGTCGGTGGTCAAATATCGGTGGTCGGTAGTCGACCATCGGTCAACGGCGTGGTGGTCCGAGCCAATTCTGACGCCGTCGTCGTCGTCGTCGTTGTCGGTCGTTTGTCGTCGGTCGTCGTCGCGGGCTGCCTGTTGCGCCGCCGCGTGCCGCTCGACGGCCGAGAGCGTCGTCGTCCTCGTCGGTCGTCGTCCGTCGCCCGTCGTCGGCGGTCAGTTGTCGGTGGTCGGTCGTCGGTTGGCCGTCGTCGTCGTCGTCGTCGTCTGTCGTCGGCGGTCAGCTGTCGGTGGTCGGTAGTCGACCGTCGGTCAACGGCGTTTCGGCCATCGCCGTCGTCGCCGCCGCCGTCGTCGCCGTCGCCGCCGTCGCCGTCGCCGTCGTCATCGCCGTCGTCGTCGCCGCCGCCGCCGTCGCCTTGGCCGTCGCCGTCGTCGGTCGTCGGTCGTCGCCGCGTCGCGGGCCGCCTGCTGCGCCGCCGCCTGCCGCGCGGCGGCCGAGATCCGCACTGCGGCGGAGGCCGGCTGCGGGGGCGGCGCCGCGCCGCCGGCCGCCGCGGCGGCGGCCTGCGCGGCGGCCTGCGCGGCGGGGGGTGGTCGGCTCGTGGAGGGGGGGCTCCCTTGCGAGCACGAGCACGGCGGCGACGTGGTCGTGGCCGTCGGCGGCGACGCTGACGTTGACGACGGCGTTGGCACTGACGGGGGCGGAGACGCAGACGACGACGACAGACGACGACGGCGACGACAACGACGACGACGACGACGACGACGACGACGACGGCGACAAAAAACGACGACGACGACGGTGACGACGACGACGCCGACGACGACGACGACGACGGCGACGACGACATCGGCGACGACAGCGGCGGTGGCGGCGACGACGACAACGACGACGACGATGTCGACTGACGACGACGACGACGACGACGTCGACATCGACGGTCGACGAGGACGAGGCGAGCCGCGGCAAAGCGGGGCGCGGCCGAGCGAGGGCGATGCAGCGCGGGGGGGGCGGCGGGGGGGGCCCGCAGGCGAAGCCGGGGCGAGCGCGAACGCAAGGCGAAGCGGGACGCGGCGAGGCGAGGACAGATTCGCAGGACCAGCCAGGACGACCACGAGGCCGAGGCGAGAGGGGGGGTGGGGGTGGGGGGGGGGGGCAAAATTCCCCAATCTGTGCTAGCACTGAATGGGGTCCCAGCGGATATTCCCCAATCAGTGCTTGCACTGAAGGGGTCCTAACAGAAGTTGAAAGATTTGGCGAAAATTTCCCGCCGATGTTGGTAGCCGGCTGGGTTCCCAGGTTCCTGGTTCCGGGTTTCCGGGTTCCTGGTTTTGGTTCTGGGCCGATGTCGGCGGGTTCCCGGTTCCCGGGTTCCCCATCGATCTCCTTAACTCTTTATCGATCCCATTTCAAACCATCGACTGATTGGGGTACTTCTCTGGTGTAATGATACCGATGCCTTTCTGGAGGGTGTCCGATACCGCTCCCGACGACTTCTCGGAATCAGCCCGCATGGCAAGGGACAAGAGGGTGTTGCGACACTTTCGCGTGTATTCTCACGCATGTGTATTAGCAGTTCCGCTAGCATCTTGGCCCAGAGCGCTCAGCACTCGAGACCTCTCCTGGGTTGGCAGAGTCCCAGGGAGCCAAAACATACCCGTGTCACGAAGCATCACCGCTTCAGCAAGAACAGTGCATCACCATCCCCATCATCATCACCATCATCATCATCATCATCACCATCATCATAATCATCATAATCATAATCATCATCATCATCATCATCATCATCATCATCATCATCATCATCATCATCATCATCATCATCATCGTCATCGTCATCATCATCATCATCATCATCATCATCATCATCATCATCGTAATCATCATCATAAATCATAATCATCATCATCATCATCACCATGGTCATCACCGTCACCATCACCACCACCATCATCATCATCATCATCATCATCATCATCATCATCATCATCATCATCATCATCATCATCATCTTCATCTTCAGCATCATCAGCATCAGCATCAGCATCATCATCAACATCATCATCAATATCAGCATCAGCAACAGCATCAGCATCAACATCAGCATCAGCATCAACACCAGCACCGTCACCATCACCGTCACCATCACCGTCACCATCACCACCATCATCATCACCATTATTATTATCATCATTATCATTATCATCATCATCATCATCATCACCATCACCATCACCATCACCATCACCATCATCATCATCATCATCAGCAGCATCAGCATCATCATCATCATCATCATCGGCCAGGATTTCGGGGTGAGTCCGGCCGTGGCGACGAGGGACGGGTCAGCGGCGGCGTCGGCGCAGTTCCCTCCCCTGAGAGGGGCCAGGTCACGCGCGCTGCGAGCCTGGGAGGTCTTCGGGAGGTTCTGTGAGAGTCTGGCGCTTTGGCTTCTTGCTCGAGGGCTCTCGGCCGCCACCGCCGTCGCCGATCGCATCCGAGCTCGTCCTCACCTTCGCCGTCAGGCCCGGGCGTCGCGCCGCGGGGAAGCTGGCGTGAACGCCGCAACTCGAATCTCGACCCTCGAACCTTGAACGTTACCGCCGCCGTCACGGTCGTCGCCTCCGCGCGATATTCAAAACCTGGGCATGCGAAACGTCCCTCTGCTGCCGTCGCCACCTCTGCATGGAGGGCACTGGTCCTGAGGCAAACGTGCCCTGTACCCTGGAGCTTTCCCCCGGGACCAGCTCTTCGTTGAGGGGCAACGAAAGGGCGGGTCTGGTATGGGGGGGGAACATCGATCTGGAATCGGCGATCCATCGCCGACAACTGGGCGATAGGCCCCCGATAGCGAAGCCGTACGTTCCTGGGCAGGTTGGGGCCATCGGCCCCCCATCGACGATGCATGGGCGATTGGGGGTCGATGCGTCCCCCTATATGCCATTGCACCAACCTTGCAGACGTGCTGCTGCGGATTTCTGCGTGGATTTCTGCAGGAAACGGCGCGTGAAAAACGAAGTTAAGTTCGCGTGGATTTTCTTTAGGCTTCTTTCCTGGCCAAACAAATCCGCACAGAACGGAATTCACCTCGACATCTGGAACGAAATTCTCCAGGACGCTCCAGGCCCATCCTATCATTTTCCGAACGAAATCCGCTCTGCGAAATTGGCGCGATGCCATACTATCGTTGCCCCTGGGCAGCTCTTTGTCCCGAGCCGTTCTCAAAACAGCCCAGGGGCCGGCGGCTGGCCCGACCACGGCGACAAAGACGTCCAGGAAATCCGCCATGGTTCGCGGGCCGGGAGCTTTTTCGGGCCATGGTTCGCGGGCCTCCGGCGGCCGTTCGGGACGCTCCGGGCACCCCGGGAACACTCCGGGCGAGACGCGGCTGCTGGAGAGCACCCCGAAGCCAGAGAGCCTCCGAGAGCCTGGATGTGTTGCCAAGCGAACAAGAAGCAAACACACACACACAAAGAAAAAACAAAAAATCCAAAAGTAGACAAACAAAAACACCAAAAAGCCTCAGAGAGCCGGCGGAATCGTCCAAGAACCCTCGGCGCCCACCCGCCTCGCAGCGGCTCGTGCTCGCCGTCGCCGCCTCAGAGGTCGCCGTGGCGTCGCGCCCGCGAGGGGGGGGTGCGGGGCGGGCGGCCTTCTCGCGCTCGGAGGCGGGCAGCACTTCGCAGCGGAGCGGACAGGCCCTGGCCCGCCCCGTGCAGGGGCGAGGGCGGCGAGGACGGCGAGGGCAAGGAGAGGGCGACGACGAGGACGAACGACGGCAACGACAACGGCGGCGACAATCACGATGAGGAGGACGTCGACGACGACGACGAGGGGGAGGGCGACGGCGGAGACGAGGAGGGCGAGGAGGACGACGAGGAGGACGAATAGGAGAAGGACGAGGACGGCGAGGACGAGGAGGACGCGACGACCACGAGGACGGCGGCGACGTGGGCGAGGACGACAGCGGAGAGGGCGAGGAGAAGGAAGATACACTCGGCTTCAGACTTGGACCCGCCAAGGACATCAAATCCGCAAGCCACTAAGCGAGCAACTGCGAAGAAGGAGATGAAGGGGAATGGGGGAGAGAAGGGAGAGGACGAAGGGAAAGGATGAGGGAGGGAAGAGCAATCGAGCAATCGTCATCTGCCGTTTGCAAAGGTGTATGGTAGGTGTCACCACTGGTTTGCAGCTTCAGACCGTGTTCACCCCCGTGGGTAATCGTCCTCCCCCTCCCTGCCGCCAGCCGCCATCCCGATAGTACCTCGAGGACCGTCGGATAAGATTTTGGGAGGGGGACGGAGGAGGTCGGAGGGAGAAGGTATGCAGAAGAAAGAGGAACGAAGGAAAAGAGAGGGAATGGAAGCGGAACCATTGAGGTAGTCAGGGAGAGGAGAGGGGCAGGAGGAAGAGAAAATGGGAGGGAGAACGCATGTCTAATCGTAGATCCACGCGTGTGTTGCCGTGTTGTCTGTAAGCGTCCGTCCTGGGTACAAGAAGCGCCGCCGACGCAACAAATCCCAAAACTAATGAACGCGACGTTCACGATCTACCACCTGCTGAAATCGAGCACACGCGAGCATGGATTACAGATCTGTGGATCTGGCGCAAGGAGAGAGCAATCCCTCCAAAGCATGAAGCTAGTGCTACCTGATCTTGTTGGGGTGCGAGCCGATCCTGTATGGAAGCGGGGCCCGTCGCTAACCCGCGTGCCCGAATCCATGTGTGCCCCCACTGTGAAGGACTGAGTCGGGGACCGCGTCCCTACAGCCATCGTGCTACCATAAGGAACGCTGCCTGACACCAAAACGGCTTTCTGGCCAGTGCCAGGCTCGGCCATGAATCGGCTCCCCGACCTGCACGGTTTCCCCCAGGGCCGTAGGCGACCCGAGGAGGAGGAGGAGGAGAAGGAGGAGGAGGAGGAGGAGGAGGAGGAGGAGGAGGAGGAGGAGGAGGAGGGAGGAGGAGGAGGAGGAGGAGGGAGGAGGAGGAGGATGGAGGAGGAGGAGATGGGAGATGAGATGGAGGAGGGAGGAGGAGGAGGAGGAGGAGGATGAGGAGGAGGAGGAGGAGGAGGAGGAGGAGGAGGAGGAGGAGGAGGAGGAGGGAGGAGGAGGAGGGGGAGGAGGAGATGGAGGACCTCTTTGGACCTCTTTGCTCACGGACCTCTGTCCCTCAGTCTCCGTCCTGGCTAACGGACGTCTGCCGTCAATCGGAAGACTCTGAATCCTCCCGCGGCGCCCGCCCATGCGCAGCCGTGCCTCTCGCAGCAGCCAGCAATCTCTGAACGTTTGCCTGGAAGCGCGACTCGTCGGCTGCGCTGCTCGGCAGACCCCGCTCGTGCCCGTCGTTGCGGGCGCGGGACGCCGCGGGAGGCTCGGTGGGGCCCCCCCCACGCTCGCTGTTCTCCTGCGAACCCCTCGCCTCGTGGGCCGACACGACACGACCCTCATCCCTGCGAGCGATGGCCATCTTTATGGCTCTGGGGGGGCCCTCACGCCGAGGGAAAAGACCTGATTCAATTCGCCGAATATTCTCGGCACCGTTCGGTGTGAGACCTCGACACTTCATACGCAATGACCTCGAGTCCACAGTCGCATACATGCCGCAGACCGAACAGACCTGCAAGAACCACCGATCGACCTTAGTGATCGTGTGGGATTCGTGGATCTCGAGGTCCACTCCTTTAAACGGTAGGAACTCTGGGACCAGCGACCTGGTTTTGCCAGGGGGCCCAGGACACGGAGAAACAGAAAAACGCAAAAACCTGGCTCCAGTCGCGATCGCGTCGCACTGTGAGCACCGCCATTTGTTTCCAACACGCTCAAGCTGGTGGGGGGAATCCCTGATCAATCTTTCCTGCTTTAAAAGTCTCTTACTTACTGGGGCCCTACCAGCACGCTCTGACGTCTCCGACGCGGCGGCCAGTAGCAAAGCTCTGCGCGCACGCTTCCGCACGAGGTGTGCGATCGCGTCTATTCTGTCAGTCTCTGGGGCCCTCCCCACCAGCCCGAACTCCCAAGCCAGCTCCGCCCCGACTCCCGCCCAGACGTCAGCAGCTAAATTCCCTGCTGCCAAGAACAGCTGACGCGGCGATTCAAGCTGCTCTGGCGTCTCGTCCAGATGGGACGCCGTCCACTCTACCTGCACAAATCTGTCTGGGTGAGTCCGCCAGGCCACTCTGGCTCGGGCCCAAAGGTCCTCATTGGGACCCGTGGCTTTAGGGTGCTCCATGCGGTATTTCCAGGTCTTCGCGATCGTCCTATGATCAGTAATGAAAATGAAATCAGCGTGGCACTCTTCGAGCGCCAGGGCGAACGCTAAAATCTCCGAGCGGGGAACCGTTTGCCTGCGACCGAGGAGTGGGACTGCCACAGCTCGACCCACACTCCACTCCCCGTCGCACACCTGCAATGCTACAATCGCTGATCCACAGCGGCGTCGGCGAGGGTCCGAGGAGTGCTTCCCTCCAGAGCCGTCGCCGAAAATGTGGATCTCTCCTTCGTACCGACACTCCTCCCAGTCCCCCAGCTCACCGAACCGAACCTCCCTCCCCCCAATCAGTTCATCATTAAACCTAGGGTGCGTGAGAGAGGCTGGCGGCAGTCCTCGCAGCCACAGCGCTGGCTCTGCTTCAGCTTGCGCCATCGCAGCCGGCAGGAGGTCCGCCGACTTGGTGAAGTCCTCGTGATCCACGTTCTTGGGGCATAGCCAGATCCGATGCATCAGGGTCTCCTCCTCCTCCTTGCACCTATCGCACTTCTTGCAGTCCAGGAGGTATCCTTGGTCGACGGATCGCTGCTTCGGCCACTGTCCTCCCGCGACCACGGCGATGTTGGCTCCGACCATGTCCAGCTGCCCCTGCTTCTCGAACCTTCGCTGCTCTGCGCGGATCTGCCAGACATCCGCTCCATCCTGCAGACCTTCACCATGTGGGTGTGCTGCTGCAGCCTTCCAGTATTGAGCTACAATGTCGTCCTCGAAGTCGTCTATCAGCTGCTGGAAGCACCCCGTGTTGTCGAACGTGCCGTCCGTGGCGGACGGGATATCCCACTGTTCTGCTGGATCCTCATCTGCTCCGACTGGTCGCATCCACACCGTCGCCGTTGGTGCATACCAGCCCCCGTCCATGATGGTCGCCTGCACCGCTCCGACTGGTCCGCGCACTCCTCTCCAGCGTTTTGCCCCAAGCTTTGACAGACGGTCGAATATCCGCGGCCATGCCTTGACGATCCTGGCGTGGTTCTCTGGGTAGCGCTGCCACAGGTTGATCCACTCCTTGACCACTGCAACTCGTATTGCCACCCCTGGGTCGCCCTTCCACAACTCGACCGCCAGTGTCGTCGTCAAGCATCGGCCACGCGCCTTACCTCCTGCCACCTGTCCAGCTTGTCGTCGTAGGCGTTGGAGCTCATGGACTGCGAGCCCGAAAGCTTGGTGGCCGTACACTGCCTGTGGTACTGCTCCTGCCGTCCATAATCCTTTACTCTCTTTGGCCAAGGCCGCGGTTCGACGCAGCCTCACGATCTTGGCGAACCTGTGCTTCGCTCTCTTGGCACGCTGCTTCGCTTTCGTAGTAACCCTTTTCCTCCCAGCCGACGAATCCAGACCTAGGTCCAGTGCCTCCGTGACTGCGTAGACGGGGATCTGCCTCTTCCTCATGGACTTGGCCGTCCGCTTCACGTCCTTCGGGTGGGTGCCTATCAGGACCGACTTGCTGGAGATCTTCATCCTCTGCTCCTTGAGGCCGTCCGTGATGATCTCCGTGACCTGGATGATGCCGTCGCCGACTGTTTGCCTGCTACCTTCTTGTCTCGCCACCGTGTCGTCCACGAATGTCCACAGCGAAGCTTGTGGCGACCTCCGATGCGCCCTGTCTAAGATCGGGTGCAAAAACAGCTTCGCCAATCCCACGCCTCTGGCAGATCCTGCTACCAGAGACCTCGTAGGCCAGATCGCTTCGCTGAGAATGTTGCGCTCCTGTAGGTACCTCGGGCCCACGAACGCGGTGATCTCTAACGCCACCACCACTGCGGGGAATCCCACTCTGAGGGCGATCTGGGACAGGATGACGAGCGAGACTGTGTCGTAGAACTTCTCAATGTCCAACAGAAGCGTCATCGCCGATGCTCCGAGCTCTGCCCCCACCTCGTCCAGGCACGCCCTGATGAGCCCCGCACGGAGGGCTGAGCTACCTTTGAGGGCAGTGTCCCAATGGGCCGATAACGCGTCACTCCATTCTGTGCAGCACCCTCCCCGAGCCCTAGACCAGAGCTTGATGGGGAGGGCCAGCATACCGAGAACCCGATCTCCTCCTTTGGGCTTGGCCGCCAGAGCGCACTTGGTGGCTGCCCATTGTCTCGGCCATGTGACTTCCTGCTCGCAATACTGTAAGATGTGAAGTAACCATATTCTTGCATTTCTGGGAGCCCGAGCCAGATCGTGCGGGCCAAGATGATCAGCTCCTTTTGCTTTGGCCGACGACGACGCACCGATGGCCCCGTCGAGCTGCTCCAGCGTGAGGGGCTCCAGCACGTGCTCCCAGGACTGATCGCGTAGCCTGCCCAGCTGGTACGCGATGTCCTCCTTCGTGTCCACTGGGTCCGTCCATATGCGCTCCCACTCGTGCTTCCTGATGGCAATGAGGGCGTCTGGGTCCGCGATGCCCTCCATCTCCTCCGTGCACAGCTCGAACCTCGGCGCCTGCTGCTCCTTCACGTGCCGATGGAGGAGGCCGACCTTGCCTGCCCATGCCTTCTTTGCCCACGCCGTGAAGTTCTTCTGCTGCGCCGTGAAGCCACGCGCCTGCGCAGTGGCGAGGTGGCCCTCTGCCTGCATGACTAAGTTGCCGAGCTGCCCCTCATCCAAGTCCGTCAGGTCGTCCAGTATATCGTAGAACATCTGCTGCTGTGCAGTGCCGTGCTTCCTGCCAAAGACCTGACTCTGATCCATCTGCTGGAGGACCTTGCCCTGCGCCTTTGCCTCCATCACACACTTTGCCTGCTGCCTGCCGTCGGTGCCGTTGGTGTACAGCGCCTGGTACCTGATGAGGATGGCGTTGAGGATGCCCCACTGCTCCGCTGGACCGAACTTCATGTGGGTGCGACCTGGTGTCGAACGCGCCTTGACCCACTTGACCTCGAAGCCCGAAGCCCGTCCTCTGTAGTACTCGGCCTCCTCCTCGTCGATCTCATCCGTGAGGATCGCCGCCTCCTCCAGACAGGTGACCCAGTCGCCGTACATCCTCGTCGCAGCTGCCTCTGCCTCGCGGTGCCTGACGTCTCGGATGATGAGCTTGTCGTCCCATGACTGGAGCTCCTTCGACAGGTGCCAGCATGAGGTCCTCTGAGATGCGGCGGGCCAAGCAGCAGGGAACGCCAGCACCCCATTATCCTCCATGCTTGGAGGGCCGACAGCCTCAGGCGGCTCAACGCTCGCGAGGAGCGGCCACGCGCTGGAGGCTGGGGGTGGGGTGCGGCCCTGGCTGCCCCCGAAAAGAATTATCTGGGACGCCGAGGGTGTCGAGCTCGAACCTGATAAGCTCGCCGTCGCCACCGCCACCGTCCAAGTGCCATCTGTGATGTAGAAGTCCTTAACCTTCTTCTCTGACTCCGCTTCTTCGATCATGGCCTGCTCCTGGAAGGCTTCCCGAAGGTGTGGCTCCAATCGCTCCTCTGCTCGTTGCCGTTCTTCCTGTCGTTTGCGGGTCCTTTTGCTGTTCGGGTCCGCCATCTTCTTCGGTCGCGGCGGTGTCGCCAGCTCCTTCGGTACCTGCATCTTGCGGTGCCACCAGGCCGTCGCCGAGCCTTCCAGCGTGAGCGTCAGTCCACAGTGTGTTCGCCACGGCACCGTGCGGACTGCCTCCAGCTTGACCTTGTGCGCGAAGTCCTTCCTTGCGATGCCGTAGTCGATGAGGCTGCCCTTCCCCTTGTCGCATGTGACCTCCACGTCTGGCTTGACCAGTGCTCCGCCGATCTGCTGCACGTAGCCCGTCTTGGCGATGTCCGCGAGGGTGACGTTCCAGTCCGCCAGGACCACCCACGGGTCCGCCAACGCCTTCACGAATCCTGCCAGCGCTCTGACCCTCTCTCGGTTGGGTCCGTGCAGACCAGCTCCTGGTAACCAATATGCTGTGACCAAGACCACGTTGCCCGCCTTGGTGTGGAGATTCACCGCCGTAAAGCCGTAGAAGGGGTCCTTCTTCCCGTCATTCTGCAGCCTCTGTCTGATGGTGTCGTAGGTGGAGCAGGCGATGTGAGACTTGACCAGGATGAGCTCACCACCCGAGGTCCCGTTCGCCGAGCGCTTCGTGGGCACCGCCGCTGTGCCCGCCGACTTCCAGCCGTCCTTCGCCACGTCCACCTTCACCTGCTTCATCTGGTCCTGCGCCAAGTGCGTCTCGCACATCATGATTATGTCCATGTCGTTGCCCTGCTCGTTGATGAACTTGTGGGCCTTGGGGCCCCACTGCGTGATGTTCGAGAAGAACACCTTGCTAAAGGCGATGGCCACCAGCAGCAGCAGCGCCTTCAGCTTGAGCAGGCTCCTGCTTCGGATTCGTCTTGACCTTCGCGTCGTGACGGAGCCTCTCCAACCTGTCCTTGCGCTGCTGCACCTCCTCCTCTGTCGGCTGCTTGTCCTCCTCTGAGCCAGCAGCCTTGGAGTCGTCGTCGGTCGCTGGTGGGGGTGCCGCTGCTGGTGCCTCTTCGCCTGAGTTCGCCTTCCGCTTCTTCGCCTTGTGGGAAGCGTGGATGGCGTCCGCCTGCTTCTTGAGCTCCGTGAACTCCGTGTACTGCTTCTGGGCGCTCTCCAGCAGCTTCGCGAGGGACGACAGGTCCGACTTGAACTTGAGTAGGTTCTTCTTATCCTCAGGCTCGAAGTCGTCCAGGTTGTCGAAGAGCGTGGGATCCACCTCGGGCGCCTTCCACTCCGTAGCCGAAGCCTCGTCCTGAGAGGGGATGGCCTCGCTGGAGTACGCCCGCAGGACTGCCTCGTGCTCCTCCTCCGCGTCAGCTGCCTCCTCCAGCGCCTTGTTGTGCCTCTCCGTGGCGACGCCGAGAGAGCGCTCCGCCTCCGCGAGTTGGCTCGTCGCCTTCGCCAGCGCCGCCTTCTTCTGATCCAAGTTGTTGATCGCCTGCCTGAGCGCCTTTGCCTTCGGGATCTCCGCGGGCGTCGGCGCCTTGGCTGTGAGCTGGGCCTGGAGCGCCTGCAGCGGGCCAAGGTCGACCATGGCCTTGGCTGTGGCGTAGGCGCCCTTCCCCAGCTGGAACTTGTTGATGATGTGCTGCAGCTCGTCCGCGGGCGACGTGACTGGCTGCTTTGCCCACGGGGGTTTGCCATCCCCTCGTTGGCTGCGGCCCGCAGACTGTGGCTGCTCACTCCATCCGCTGAGGTAGTCGTTGCACTTGTTGCACCAGCCTCCCGTGCGTTGCAGCTTCCAATCATACACCCAGTTGCTGCAGCCGCTGCAGACCGTGTACGTCTGGCGCCTCGGCATGGTGGCGCCGTGCTCACGAAAGCGGCCCGACCTGGGTGTCGGGCGGTCCTGACCTGGGCGAACAGGCCGCAATAGCTGAGAGCTGTCCTCGGATCAGAGGTCTCCACTCTGACCCCGAGGGAATCAAAACCTTGAGCCAAAATGGCTACGGAGGAGGAGATGGAGGAGGAGGAGGAGGGAGGAGGAGGAGGAGGAGGAGGAGGAGGAGGAGGAGGAGGAGGAGGAGGAGGAGGACGGTTCGCCTAAGTCCTTTGGAGAAACCCTCCAGCCCGACCCAGACCTAGCAAAACCGGCCCTAAATCCAGAGCCCTTCCAGAGGCCCGAAGGTGGCCCTTCTACGTCGCCATCCTGCTCGTCGTCTCCACCACCCCTCTCTCCTGCTGCCCAGGTTCCTGACATTTCCTGGAAGGGTTCCTAGAGATTGGTAGGGCTTCATAGAGATCCCAGATGCTTCCAAAGGATTCCGATGGATTCCTTGGGATTTCCAATGGATTCCTTGGCACTCCGCTGGGTTCCTGGGGAATCCTCTGGACTCCTGAAGATTCTAGAGGATCCCTGGAGATCCCAAAGATTCCTAAGGGCTCCTGTGGATTTGCTTATGGATTCTGAAGGGTTTTTTTGTGGTGAGGATTGCTATGCATTGGTGGGCTTGTTTTCCATCACCACCACCATACGTAGGAGGGGGAGGGGGTCCTCCTCCTCCTCCTCCTCCTCCTCCTCCTCCTCCTCCGCCTCCTCTTTCTCCTCTTCATCCTCCCCCTCCTTCCCCCCTCCAACTTGTGGAGGAAACATCCCCCCCTGGTGGAAAACAGGCCCATCGTGCACCCCCGCGAACCCCCGAAGGCTCGCGCGCAGAACGTCGAGGCCGCCTGCGCTCGGCGGTCGCCCCCCGACCCCTGCGCCAGCGCAGCACGACGGGACCGAACGCGTGCTGCACCAGCAGACCCCAGGCCCCCGCCGCCGAGGGGCACGAAGGCCACGTGGACATCACGGCAAGCGCGAAACAACGTGAAACACAAGAGCGAAAGAGCGTTGAAAACAAAACAAGAGCGAAAGCACGTTAAAAACAAAATAAGAGCGAAACAACGTTAGACATCACGGCAATAACGAAAAAAACGTCAAAAACAAAGCAAGCAAGTGTTCTACGGCAAGATAAACAAGCATGCCGCGAGTAGCTTCCACATACACCCCCCGTCGTCGAGCCGGGTGGCCTCGATCAAGTCGAACTTCAAAAGGATCGAGGGGCATGACGGCCGCAGTCCACAACCTTGCTGGACTGGACACAGCATTTGGGGCCCAGCACGGGCACATCCGATGAGGGGGAGCGTCCATGCTCGCGGAAGGGGCGTCTGGTGAGGTCCCTCTAGGGTTGTGTCCCCGGCCCCCTTCTGTTGTATCAACGGGCCAGTTCTGTTTTCTGGGGGGGGAATCGGGGGCTGGCACCTCCCCCCCTCCAAAAGAAGAAGCACGTGCACACACCTACTGAACTTTCGAGGGTACGCGTGCATTTCTCGGATCGGCGCTGGGCGCGCGGAGCACGCCATGGGCGGCGCTGAAGGCGCCGCCAGGGGGGCCCAGCTCCGATCTGAAAAATCCGCACAGACCTCCGAAGTTGTATGTTCATGCAGTTTTCTTCTTCGGCCCTTCTCCTTTCCTGCCCCCTTGCCTCCTCGCCATCCCCCAAGCAGAGCGAGCCCGCCCGTCCATTTCTCGCACAGCCACGTGTTCGTGCAGGCGGGGTGGCAGAAGTGACCACAAGGCAGCATCGAAACCTGCCCTACCCGCGTCACGGTTTGCATGTGCTGCGCTCGTGTGCGCTGAGCATGTTCCACGATGTCTGCTCTGCCATTCCATTCGAATCCGTCGGTGACAGGGGGGACGGTGTTGATAGAAATTGGGCGGTGGGATGCGACACGGTTCGATGGAAAGCTTGAATTCCGAGGGGGGCGCATTGAAGGTGCATTCGATTTCGAAGCAACGGGGGTGTAGACAGATGACGAAACAAAGGTGGTGGATGGTGGTGGTGGTGGTGATTATGAAGATGTTGTTGTTGATGCTGAAGATGGTGATGCTGATGAGTATAATGATGTTACGGATGTTGAGAATGTTCATATTACTGCAAGTGGTAATGCTGCAGGTGATGATGAAGATGATGATGATGATGCCACTGCTGTTGGTGATTATGCTGATGTCGATGCTGATGCATATACATATACTGATGCTGATGATGAAAATGATGAGGATGACGGTGACAAGCTGCGAATGGTGATGATGGTGATGCTGCTGATAACGGCGATGATGATGATGATGATGATCCCCGCGGCTGAAGGGGTCAGGAGCTCCTAGCTCGTACCGGGACTCGGACCGAAGCGTTTCCCCTTTGCCCTGCGGAGGCAACGCCCAGTCTCGTGCGCCTCGGCGCACGCACGCAGATTCGCCTGAATGCCGAGAGCAATCATCCGCCTCAGCCGATGCAAGCGGTCGAGTGGTCCAAGCGACTCAGCACGCTCGGCAGCTAGCACAGAGCCACGGCTGCCGATCCAGCGGGCTGGCACGCAGCTTTGCTGCACACCGCGCCGGAGAAGCAACTGGGTCCCTGGCTCCAAGCCACCCCGACACGGTTACTCCTCAGGCCTGCGGAGATCGAACCAGAGCGTGGACGGACCTACGCTCTCGGGCTGCCCTCCACGCCAGAACGACGGGCAGGGCAAGCTGGCGCGAAGAGCGCGCCAGCAACTACATTGCGCGGAAGCGTGTAAGCACGCCGAAACAGGCGAGCGCTCGACGACACCTCTCCATCAGCAGCGCAACCCGCCAACAGGCTCCAGGCCACGAGCTGGTCTGGTTGAATTGCCGACGGGGTCGGAGCCCGATCCCGGGCGAGGGCGAACCTTCACTTCTGGGTCAGTCTCCGTCATATGGAGGGCGTTCTGCGTCAATCAGATGGCAGGCCAAGCAAGGCGCGCGTCAAACACGACGCGCCTAAGACAGCACCTCGCCACCAGCATCACAACACTTCCCTATGGTCGAGCCTAAACAGGGCGTCGCAGTGCCGCCGGCAACGGAGCCCGATCCCGTGCGAGGGCAAGCCCACGCACCTGGTTCAGTTTCCGCTCAACAGCTGGGCCGTCGCAGGCCGAAAGGGCCGAGGCTATTGCACTAGCGCGCCGTGCAGGGTAGCGAAGGCCTACCCCCAGCATCGCAGCAAGTTCCTCGGCACCTGGCCACTGCTGGACTTCGTTGCATTGCCGACGGCATCAGGCGGCGGAGCAGGACCCCACGCGCGGCGAACCTATGCGCCTGGGTCAGATTCCGCCAGGGACTGCGTGCGCGAGAGCAGCCAGAGGCTGCGAGACAAGCAGGGCACAGGACGTGCCGCTTTATATGGAAGGGCGCTCCGCGCCAGGCAGATGGGCGAGCGGCGCAGGAGCGCGCGTCGGACGACGCGCCGCGACGCACCCCACCAACAGCATCGCAACACTTCTCTAAGGCCAGAGACCTAAATAAGACTGTCGCAGCGCCGCTGGCAATGGAGCCCAATCCCATGTGCAAGTGGAAATACGCACCTGGTTCAGCTTCCGCCCATCGTGGCAGGCCATGCACTAGCGCAGAGCTTGCTACACTAGCGGACTTAAGAAGGGGAGAGAGGCGCACGCCGAAGAGAAAGGACCGACGGCAACGTAACGTGTCCCTTGGCCCTGGCCTCTGCTGGACTTCGTTGCATTGCCGAGGGCGTCGGCCCTCGGACCCCGACCCCGTGCGTCGGCGAGCCTGCGCACCTGGGTCAGCCTCCGCTTGCGACAGCTGCGCGCGGCAACAAAAGGCTGCGAAAGAGAGAGAGAGAGAGAGAGAGAGAGAGAGAGAGAAAAAAAAAAAGAGAGAGAGAGAGAGAGAGAGAGAGAGAGAGAGAGAGAGCGCCGAGCGCAGCCATGCGGCTACAAACGCCTGACCAGCAGCATCGCATCCTGTCCTTTGGCACCCTGCCACTCAGGACTGGTTGCATTGCCACTGGCATCGGAGCCCGATCCCGTGCGTCGGCGAACCTACACGCCTGGTTCAGCTTCCGCAGCGAACTGCCAGCCGAAGCGCATGCACCGAGACAGGGCCATGCGCACGCGCGGCAGGCGAACGAGGGCTGCTGTGAGCGTCGCTGCGACCTAACCGACGGCAGCGCAACGGGTCCCTTAGGCCCTGGCCTCACCTGGACTGTTGCATTGCCATCAGCCTCGGGCCCAATTCCGCGCGTGAGCGAACCTGCGCACATGGTTCGTGCCCGAAATGGTGAGAATGCTTAGCCGTCCATGCCCCTGCGCAGGCACCGTAAGGGCTCAAGGTCGCCGATGCTGCCCTGTCCCGCTGGCTGCAGCCCGCGCTTGAGGCGGCCGAGCACCGCCTTCTGCCTGTCGTTCTTAGGGGCCTTCGGTCACTCCTGTGCGAAGCCCGCCATCCTGCGACTCTGCGCCCAGTGGCCGCATGTGACGCAGCTTGTGGGCGTCGCGCGCGTCGAGCCCCCGCCGCGGAGGCAACTCGGGTGGCGGCAGCGGCGGCGGCTGCGCCGCCGGCTGCGCGCGAGGCGCCGAGGCCGCACTGCCACTGCCAGCCGCGGCTCCCGCGGCGCCAGAAGCTCGTCCATCGCCGTCGTCGGCAGCGCCCTGCGCGCCGCTGGCCCGGCTGGAGAGCAGCGCTGCGCTTGCGATGAGGAGCGCCGCGGCCGCTGCGACCGAGCCCGATGCACCTTCGGACCCCGACGTCCACGAGACCGAGATAGCTTCGCCGCGTCTTGCGCACTCCTGACAAGCCCATACTGCGTCGCTGCCGACCACGAGACACGCGCCGCGCCGACAGCACGTCCTCTGCGAGCAGTCGTGGAACGAACAGTAACTCCTCCAGCGCACCTTGCATCCGCGCCAGCCGCGCCTCACAGCAGCCATGCCAAGCCCGTCATGTCCGTCCTCTGCCATCAACTCTGCGTCGCCCTCCTGAATTGCGGCGCCCAGCCAGCGGAAGACCTTCTGGACGAGGCGATCCTGGCGCCGGCTGGCGCGCGCGGACATCCTCGTCCGTGGGATGCAGCTGTGCTCCTTGGATCGCGCGAGCGTCGGCGCTGTGGTTGCCCCGCGCTGCCAACCTGTGATGCTCTCGGCCTGGACGTCGGCCAGCGTCGCGTGGGCCTTCACCTTGCGGATGGAAATGTAGCCGATGCCGATGCCCTCGATCGCCGCCCAGAGGCGCACCCAAGAGCTCACTGTAGGGCCTCTGCCACTGAAGGCACCACGCCATGCCCGCGGCGAACCCGTCCACGAGCAGCTGGCAGTCAGTGTAGATCCTGACTGGAGGCATGCAGTTCCGGTGCCCCTCGATGGCCGCCGCGATCTCCGCTGCGCCCGACTCCTGCGGGTAGGGCCAGGGCAGCGGGCCGAAGAGGCTGACGGCCTCGGCGTCATGCTCCATGACGACCACCGCCCCGCCGCCCTGCGCAGAGACCAGGCTCGGGTCCACGACGCTGCCGTCCGTGAGCGGGTCGCCAATGAATGGTTGCCCCACCAGGTCGGCTCGACCTACCGTGCGCGCCGCCCTGTCCTCCGTGGGCAGAAGGCCCTCCTGTGCTCTGGTGCCAGCGCCCACGACCAGAGGGGATCTTCCGTCGGGCCCAGGCTGGCCATGCCGACGATGGTCCCGAAGTGGATGTCATCGGGTGGCCGCCTCTGTCGGCGTCGTCGTTCGCCTCCCGCTCGGCGCGTCCGAACGCCGTGGCGGGGCGCTGCCGCGCCAAAAGTCGCACTGCGCCGTGAGCCGGGCACCCCCGGGGGCGCCGCGGCGACGGGGCCGACGGGCGCCCCTCCGCGAAGCGCCGTGCCACGGGCCAAAGGCAGCCCACCAGCGCGTTCTTGGCCGAGCTCATCTGCTTGACCGTCTGCTTGCTCATCCCCTTGCGGTGCAGGATGCGCCTGGTGCTGGACAACGCCCCCCCCTCGTCCAGCCTAGTGCTCCAGGCCTGGATACTTGCCCGCGCCCCCTCACCAGAGCCGCTCGTGGCTCGCGGCGATGTGCTTGGCGGGGGTCGATGCGCCCAAGACCTCCAGGTCGATCGGTTGCTGAAGGTCGTTGAGGAGGAAGCCTGGCCGAGCAGCTGACCAACCCAGGCGATGGCACGCTAGCGCGCATGTTGAAGCAGGACCTCTGACCGCCAGGGCTTCGGGCCCCTCCGCCTCCTTCCTCGCGAGGGCTCCTGCGACGGCACAGGGCCTGCAGGTCGGCGCGGCCCGAGTTGAACTGCGCCGCCGCGGCCCGCGCCACGATGGGAAGCGTCGCATGGTCCAGGAGCGGGTCGCTGGCCAGGCGCTTGCCGAGGAGGAAGCTGAGACTGAGGCTCTCGCCAGGTTCCCGTCCGTGGTGGGCGGCGTTAACCTGCCTCCGCCACTTCGTGAGCTGCGAGGATGGCCAGCCAACCGCGCTGAGGCCGCACCGCGTGGCTGGCCGAAGTCCCGCGTTGGCCACGTGGGCCGCAGCTGGCGTCGCCTGAGAGCGAAGCGCGTGCAGCCTCTGCAGCTGGGCGGCCGCCTTCGCGTGGCGCATCTCCAGAACCACGAAAGCCTGACTGTCGAGGGAGTAGTCCACCCCCAGGTTCTTGACCTAGTCGGCGATGGGGAAGGCGGCGCCGCCCATCTGCTTGGCCACCAGCGAGGCCAGCACGAGCTCGCGAGCAGCTCGCTCTTGGACGCTGACACAGCGCAGCCCGGCGCCACGAGCTGCGCCGCCACCGCCTTGGTCG